TCGTGCAATGGTGGAAATCCGCGGGGGGGGGGGGGGGGTTCCTTTCTGTATGTTTTCATTCATACATTCATTGATCCTTTCATTCATCAGCTGAAGTCTTTCTTTCTGTCTGCTGAGCATGTTCTCTCAGTGAAGGTGCTAACGAACGTTGTTGATCATGAGGTAAATCAGCACATTCCAGAACTGAAGCTCATCTCTATTCTCATTCCAGAACGATTCGCGCCTAAAATTTAAATTTTCAACAAATGGATGGCACACCATATTTACAGTTATAAATGCCACATTTTCCTTAAAGGGATAGTTCACCCAAAAATGAAAACTTGATGTTTATCTGCTTACCCCCAGGGCATCCAAGATGTAGGTGACTTTGTTTCTTCAGTAGAACACACATGATGATTTTTAACTTTAACCGTTGCAGTCTATCAGTCGTATAATGCATGGCAATGGTAACAAAATCTATGAGAGTAAAAAAACATGCACAGACAAATCCAAATTAAACCCTGTGGCTTGTGACGACACATTGATGTCCTAAGACACGAAACGATCGGTTTGTGCGAGAAACCGAACAGTATTTATATCATTTTTTTACCTCTAATGCACCACTATGTCCAACTGCCTTGAGCGCGTGCACGGCATCCAGTGCGTGAGGCGTGTACGCGCGCTTACACAGTGCACAAACATTGTAGGTACGACGGCTAATCAAAATGGTACTTACTTGCGCTTATCCAGATTGTTCAAACCGACTTAAAACTAAAAGATTACATTCTCTCGCGCGAACTCATTCGGATTTTGGTGACTTTCCACGTATTCCCAACTTCTGAGCCTGCTCGCCTGAAGTTATGGTTGATTGCTCTTCGGCTGGATATCAACACACCCATTAACGTAAACTACGCCAGAGCGCGTACACACCTCACGCACCGGATGCCGTGCACGCGCTCAAGGCAGTTGGACATAGTGGTGTATTATTTCTGGCACAAACCGATCGTTTCATGTCTTAGGACATCAATGTGTCGTCACGAGCCGCAGGGTTTAATTTGGATTTGTCTGTGCATGTTTTTTTTTACTCTCATAGATTTTGTTACCATTGCCATGCATTATACGACTGATAGACTCCAACAGTTGGAGTTAAAAATCATA